TTACGTTAAATCTGAAAGGAAAGTTACGAAAATTTCGTGCAGCCAGCCCGATCAGTTCGCTAGAAACAGAACCCAAGTTTAAAACACCAGTGTTTCTTGAGTAAGTCTTAAGCACTACGCGGGTCATGAACTACAAAAAGAGACAGAAAAAAATATACATACCAATGAGAAGATAATAAGATTCTTTTGATTAACAAGTGAAAAATTTATGCTTAGTAAATCACAGAACTGGAAATGCAGCTTATAGCTCTTCGCCAATATAAAACATTCAGTGCAATAAAAGGTTAATCTTCATTTCTGATTTCGAAATGAAAGTAAAAATGTTTTCATAATCTGTAACTAGACTTATAAATTTAATATTTTATTGCAAGTCCTAGACTTAATGCTATTATGTTATTTATTACTCACAGATAATTTTACCATTCTCACTAGAATATATACATATGCAAGATATAAAATATGTAAATCAAAATTACAACTTGAATTAACAATAGCCTCGTAATTCTTTATTTTAATTTGTGTTCCCACCTTTCTGATCTAAAAGTAGAAATAATTTATAATAAACCTCTGGGCTGGCCTGCGTCTTTTTAAAATTAATCCATTTCACGCTTATGTAATTCTGCAATGTGGATAGCTCTTATCCCCCAATCGGATTTAAATCCTTTTAACTATTTTTTCGAATGCGCACTTACTTTCCCCCTTTTCTCACTTCGCCTTGTTACTGCTAAGACGTGTCACTTGTCTCTGCTATCTGTGATCCATTGTCTGAAAATGTAATCATTCAAAATTGTAGGATGCCTATTGTACCCATAATGATGTGTGAATGAAAATATGTATCGCAAGAATTAAGTGTTCGACAATAAATTATGTCTTGTCTTCAGCCACGTTTGCCTGTGAATGTCAACTTATGGTGTATCCATGCCCATCTGCCAGTCTCTCCTTCGTTATGCATCATTCAAATTTAAAGCTATCGCCCAATCATAATGATATTTACGAAATATATATCCCATTAAAAACTGGCACACCTTTGTCCCACGACCCTTAAGAAACTACCGTTAAGCAAAAGAATCAGATTTCATTAAATGCGTATATATACAACTGGATCACCACTAGTTAAAGAAAAAAAAAATACAGTCTTCTATAAAAATAAGTTGGAAGTGCATTAACTACACACATGCATTAACATGCTACTACACATGCTACTACACATGCATTAACGCAAACACGGTTTAGAATGTACGTATGTTATTTAACATTATTTCGAGGCACGTCTTCTAAAGAGGCCGGCAGCCCGAGTTCTACATCATAACAAATCGATCGGCGAATAGAAACACAGATAATAAAACAAAGGCAACATGGCTAAATGGGAAACCGTTATTAAAGCTGCGCTTGTAAATCCCTTTGATGAATAACACCCTGCAGACGTTACGAAAGCATTTAGCTAATTTGGCCAATACTTCAAAGTAATAAATGGCATCCAAAACACTACACCATGAACGCTGCCACAGCGCAAATCAGCTGAACAGAGCCACGGGCTAATGGAAGGATTTCTGGCTCTGCGAGAGAAATGAATACTTTCGATTAGCACTAGCATTCCGAGAGCAGCACAATAAGCAGCGCGCGAATTTCTGAATGGGGGCGCAGGTGAAATTGTCATCTATAATAACTGGTAACCTTTCCGAACAACCATTCAATGCAACCTGACGAGAGATGAATGAAAGGATAAGCACGGGATGAGGTGTAGTTGAAAGCTATTTAAAGAAGCTTTTCAGCAGATGGGTACAGTGAGAAATTTTGTGAAAAGATACGTCTTCGTTGACGTAACTCGGCGTTTCAGGAAATAAAAGACTGACAACTGAAGCGCTAAAAGAAAACTAAAAAGGAGTGGATAGAGCTATTCTTAACATGCATACAAACGAAATATTTTTCACTCTGACAAATTTTCGCTACAAATATTGCTTCTACTCATATTTCAGATACACTACTACGAGACATTTTGCCAATAAAAAGAGATTTATGGATAATCCATTCATGAGTTTAATTCATACCAGAAAATTTATGTCATTATATAAGCGTAAACATGGAGGTTAATCTTGTAACTGCTCGAACATTTCTCAGCACCTATATCATTAGAAGATATTTAAAGAAGAAGCTAACAAAATATTTCCTTGGGATAGTATGACACCCCCAGAATAATTCATTTTTAACTCCATTGCAAAGCTCCAAACTTATAGAAGTAATATAAATAAAGTGATCCTAGCACGAAAAATCTGAAGGTTTTCAAAACAAGAAATTCATCGTAAAAACCAGCCGGTCAGATGTAACATCGTAGGTGAAACTAATACGTAATATTTGCGCGATGTCAACGGATATACGATATGTCTGATTTATTCAAAGAATTGTATTCTCGTTCAAAAGAAGTAACTAATATTTTTTGAAGCTGTCAAAATAAATGCATGTATATCAACTGCAATAGTTGCTTTACCATTACCTTTGATGTATCACGATATTAGTTACTCGAAAAGGATATTTAGAATGCAATGATTGCGAGCGAAAAAAAAGTGCACTAAGAATAGCTTGTTTTATTCACGACTAGCGATGAGAAGAACAAAAATAAGTTTTACTGTAAATTTTTCCGTAACTATTGGCTAAACATGGTATCAATGGGCATATTTATAAAACTGAGTGCGTTTTACCACGCAAATCTCGTTCAAAATACACTTTAGTGCAATCCGAATGCAATTTTGAAAATGGCATTGTTAAGATTTGTTTCTTTGTTGTCTGTAGTCTACAAACTCACATAAGCAAGCACATCTATGAAAACATGAGCAATAAAATGCATATCCAGAGCGCATATAAGTCCTTTGATAAACAGAAAGAATTTTACTTTGCGAATATGAAACTTCATAGCATCGAAATTATTAAAGTATCAAAACATCCATTCAAAAGCAATGACATTACGATTCAAATTTCAGATAATTTCACAAAGTAGCTATTAAAATTGTGCATCAAAGTGATACTAAAAAACTACTAATTATTTTCTAGGGGATTTTTAACCTATTACAGGCACACAAAAAGAATAATATGAATAAATAGTAAATAGCAGGATTCAACACGCAAAATAAAACAGGACAAAAGCAAGCAAAGAAACTGAACATAAATTAGTATTTTATTATTAGAATTTATAAGAAGAAAATTCTTGTATCTAACTGCGATGAGAATATGTTAGCGAATGTAGAAAACTTACTGCAGCAAGAAGAACGAGAAGGCGTCATCAGCCTCACGAGGTACCGCCTTCCTAGGAACTTGTTAGTTATTCATTAGATTGTTTTTCCCAGTGCTTTTCCACTGAAAGGAGAAGCTACGTTTCGAATAACAACAGTACCCAGTAAACTTATTCACTTTGCTATTAATAGACAACAGAAAGTAGAGAATACAGAAGGAATTACGAATTTTCTAAAATTCATTTTAGTTAATACTTTATTTTTAAGTTAATTCCTTTCAGTTTTTTCCGTCAGCTATTAACAGAATTCAAATTAGGTTGAGTTTACATAATACGCCAGTTTGGAATTAAAAGGAGTGCTGTAACAACCAGCTATCATAGATATCATATATATCATAGCTTATCATATATATCATAGCTGTTTAACTGTGACTTTCACTCAGACGACCTTTGTATTTGGTGAGCGAATTTTTGTATGTCTTAGCGTCAACCCTGTGGTTAGAATGACGGTGGTTCTACCTATGGTTAGAATACCTATTCTGGAGCCTAGCTAATAGGTGATATTTGATTTTGTGGTATTTTACTTCATTTGAATATGAATTTGAATTTCATATTTGAATTTTTATACGGCAAAGCAGATGAAGGCTACGGTAAAGGATGCATTTTTAAAGAACTTTCTAAAGGAAACTAGCTCGTATTCACAACACACATGGAAAAAATACCAAGGTAGCCAGAACATTCACTTTGGTTCGAAACCCTAGTCAAACTACTATTACCCAGGCCTAAACTACTCGGCTGTTAGTAGGTGCTTTGCAGTGTACTGCTTTAAATAACTGAATTTTGGATACCACACAAATAGCGGTGGCTATTAAATGTTCATTTTTAGTTGTACTATGAGACATAGCATACTTAATAAACATTTTATTATTTCTTGTCTGTGTTATTTAAGTTTCGCCAAACTTAAAGCGAAGACGAAAATAAAATAAAATAAAAAATATATATATTCAGAAAAAGTATCAGTAGAGTAGATCAACTATTTTGATTTCATTTCTTAGATTCATTTCACGCATTCTTGGAAAAGGATTGATTTTGTACCCCATTCATTCGTAAATCTAATAACAAGGGAGGCATAAATTGTTCTTAAAATTATATCTAGAAAGTTTAGACATACAGAGAAAAAGGACAAGGAAAAAATCTAATACTAAGAAATTAAAAATGCAGAATGCGGATTTTTTGTTTTTTTGTTTTTTGTGTGTGTGTGTGTGTGTGCGCTTCTATAAAATATTGCATTCCAATTTTGATTATATAAATGGTGTCTGCTTTAAATGGAAGCTAATTGTCTGAATGACTGATGAAATGAAGATACAACGAAACACTTTAAGCCCAGCAAAATGGCAGGTCTAGGCCAATTTGAACAATTACGAAAACAATAAACTTGTTTTCGCTTCACCTAAACGAAACCATAGCTACGATCTCTTAAAATGAATACATTTTGTTTTTCTGTAATCGTAAAGTAAAAACAGTTTTTTTTTTTTTTTCTCTAAAGAAACTAGTCTGTACGCTTAACTTATAATAGTAGTGACTTCATAATATTTATCCTCATAAGATTATAACGTTAAACATTAGCCCGATTTAGAAATATAAAGTTTGATGTTTAACAGTGTTTCCGAATACATGAGGAATCATTTGCAGACAAAACATTTTTAAATTTTTCGAATATTTAGATGCGGTAAAACTTTCCAACGTTACGAAAAACGTTTACAAAATATACACTTACTTTCTCGAATGCTTCTCTTTTCTTTTCCAAAACGTTTGGAAGCTGATCCCAAGATATTATTTCGTCCTTCGCTAGAGGTGATCCTCTCTTTTTATGAAGGTTTTGATTATTTTCACATACCCATGATTGTCCATTATATGTCTGTTTGAATATTGGGTGACTAGGTGGCAAATCCAAACTTTGACCTTTAAGCATCACCAAATTAGGAACGGATTTGCTATGGCTATTTAAAAGCCCGGAATCAGATGATTTAGGAAGCATTTCAAGAGCCTGAGGTGACATTTGGTTTGAATTCTTCGGTTGTGGCTGTTTGTTGAGGTTTTTAGGAAACGACAATTTAGGCACAGACATTTTTAGCCTACTTGATGATGATGAAGACTCATATGGCGGAGGAGGTTCAATATCGGATCCTGCGGTATTTATAGGTAATTTCTGGTCAGATTTTATAGATTCAGCAAGAGACATTCTTTGGTAGAACGACATTACAGCTTGTTTTTGGATGGCTTTTAATTCCGGATCAGACACCCGTTGCCTTTTATCAGCTTCAGGGAAGACGAATTTCCGTGTAGTTTCATCCATACTTTTAGACTTCGAAGGTTCATATCCATATTTGTATTTAGAGAAAGGGGAATCTATATCTTTTGATTTCAAAATCTCACGGAGAGGAGAAGTTTTTTCTAAGCTTTTCGATTTGGCTGAACTTTTGTAATTAGTTATGCATGTAATGTTACTGACATCCGATGATGAGCCCGAAGTATCATCTCCTTCAGGACATCGAGATCGCGGGTAAGAATCCTCTGACGAAAATGAGTTCGAACTTTTTCTTGAATCCTGTCGGGAAGGACACTTGTTCGATTTACTTGAAGATTCAGGCACTTCATGTAGGTTTGATTTTGATAAGGATGGAGAAAGTGTTAAAGAAGCATGGCTACGATACATCGCTTCTTCTGCAGACATTTGACTTCCACAAGCAACGATATCCATATTTTTAGAAGGCACTTTGGCATCACTGTTTGGCCTCGTAGGGGATCCCGTAGCATAATACAAAACACTCTCTGATCCATGCCGCTCAGGCTGCTGAACTCGAGCACTGTGGGCTACAATTTCTCTATGGCAACCGTGCCTGGCAACGACCTCAGCACGGGTTGCACCTTCTAACAATAAACTTGGAGCAGTGCTATCACATGAAGACTGTGGAGATAAACGACCACTCTCAGGCATAGTAGAATGACCACTGTCAAAGAGAGAGCTACGGTTAGATAACTGAGTACTGAGGGTACTTAAATCACTATATGATCCTTGCCACTTGGGGATTCCTCGACCATGACTACTGCTTTCCATGCTTCCCATCCAAGTTCCGTTTTCACTGGAAAGTTCAAAATCATTTCCCGGGGGTGCTTGGTGTTGTATTTGAGGCACAGCTGCAGGATGTATAGGTACTGGAGGGGGAGGCATCTGCCATGAATTTTCGAGTCTAAGCCGATCTAAAAAGGGTGTATCAGGAGCTGCTGAAGAATGTTTATTTTCGGGAATTCGTCCCTGTTTGCTCCAAGCTGAAGAAAGAGGAACTGAATATTGAGCTTGGTGACGCAAAACATCTTCATATCTACTAAGGAAACCATTCGAGTCGGCTACGGGCATTTCATTTGGTGATTTAGCTGAGGAAGAAGCAGCAGGTGAAATATCACGTTCTGGCGGAGAGTGTATTCTATAATCATTTTTATCCTCGTAACAATGCGGAATACAAGGAGTGTGAAAGGCTTCAAAATCAAACTGTTTACCATTGCAGTCTCCTGCAGAACTGTTACATGTAGGATATGGCAAATGATAACTATCAGCATTATTCCTCATTTCTGATTGCTGCAAACAATCAGAGTTATTTTTATTCGAGTTATAGTCCGGAGCTCTTTCTAAAACAGGCTGCAGTTGGTTTGTGGAGATTTTATATTGATGAGCTTTCTTCGGTCTTGAATATGCTATTTTTTCTTTGGGATAATCAGTTTGTCCAGTCCATGAATGTGACCTATATGTAACGGAAGATGTTGTTGGAGCAGTAACAGGCCAAGAAGGATATTTTTCATGTGCAGCAATACACTTCGCAGCATCAGTTCCATCTAATTTGGAAGTAGTAGGAGGAGGAGGCGGTGGAAGATCTCTTTTATTTTCCTTGGGACTTTGGGACGGTTTTACATTTAAGGAGCTAAGAAGCGTATCATGAGATTCATGCAAAGGTTTATCTTTAAAGAACAAGGCACTGCTGTCGCTAGAAGGGCTGCTATTAAGCTGCAGTTTAGATGTTTTTTCTCTTAGCTTATCGGGTGGTTTGGGAACTTGCATTAAAGGACTGGCTTCATCTCTCCGAGTATTGTATGTTTTAAGCTGCACTACAGGGGAGAAATCAAGCCCACTTGTTGATGCAAGAGCATCATAAACCGATCCTTTCTTAAACCTCCTCGTTACCATGCTGCCAGCCTAAAAGAAAATAAACAGGCATAGCTAAGAAATAAATTTATAATATAATTTTAAACATATTGAATTATAAAAGGAAAACAATATAGACAATGTCATAACTTGATCTATATGTCACAACTTAGGGTAATTAAAAAAAATCTAGTCAGTCAATGTCATAATTTGATCTATAAGTCATAACTTTGGGTAATTTAATATGTAAGGTTATTACAAATGATTCACCTTTCTCTGGTTTTGAAGTCTTGTAATTTCAAAGTTATGGATTGCAGACGTTTCTGATACTCCTATAATCAAAGAAAATATGTGAAAATTTTTCAAGTCGAGCGAGCAATTTTTCTTGCGACACATGGCGTAAATTGAACATGACTTGCTTTTGTTCAAATGGCCAGTAAGGTCTCTCTAATTTACGACCAGTATCCCCCTCCATTTCGTACTGCGTTAAAAGCTATTATTTGCATGCTTCCACTGGAGGAAAATATTATAAACTAAATCCATAACCGCATTATAACTGGTTAGGTGAGCATCAGCCGGGAAATGTTAACACTTTAACTCGTAATTGGTAACTGGTTTTTTATTATTATTATTTGCAGTTATTTTTACAAAATACGGCATTTGAAAAACCCGACGAATCACTTGTAATAAGCTTATTTGTGACATAACTGACTCTTACCGCAGATTCATCCAGGTCGGACTGCAGTAAACTGCCAGAAGAAGTGGAGTGCCGCTGAGTGCGCCCCTGCGCAAGATGAGGTGTGGATTTCGTGACCGTAGGATTGTTATTAGTCCACGCACTCACCGATTCCACACTGGTAGCGAGTTGCTTTTTCAGATCCACCGAGGAACTTGTAAGAGATTCGACACTAGCTTGACGAGAATGACGGGACACTTCCCTTTGACTGTAGCTATGGCGGAGTTGGCGATGGTTTTTCGAGCATTCTGACGTCACTTCCTGGTGACTGAAACTTAGAGGACGGTGACGTGTATTCCATTCCAACCTGTAATTAAAATACAGTAAAGTTAAAATGAGTATAAAATAAATAGCAACGTTACAGTCATTAGCTTTTTCAGCACAACATTTTTTTAAAGTACAAAACATCTAAAATCCATCCTTTCATCATCAAATTTATTCACTTAAAATCTATTCTGTATAGTGTATGCTATTAAGTGCTATCACATAACAAAACATCAGATAGCCTGCTAATATAATGCAAGAAACTTTTCTTTCGCATCTGTTGGTCTATTACAAGAAACGCATATCTGCCAGGACAATAGCTCATAAATTTGTATAAAGCACTAAAATGCATAGCGAGGGACGGTTAATTTCATTTTAAAGCAAAGCACTTAACTGCAGAATTAATTACACTCTAGCAGAATTAATTACACATTAAATCTTTACACTGTTAGTTATAGTTAATAAATCTGATGCTGAGAAATGGTTCTTGAACATTATTCGGGTTTAAAGTCCAATGAAACAGATAACTAAAACCACCTCATTCTTAGCTTCAAAACACGGGTTTGTAACACAGTTGCGTTTCATTCAAAATGCAGCGACAGAACTGCGATCACCTGCGACAGGATTTAATGCAATTGCTAGCTTAAGAAATTTTGACATTACACTTCCGGTATATTCATCAGCTGTTATGTTATCATTTTCTTTCACTTCAAACCAAAATTTAATTTAATTTATTCATCCTATGTGCGAACTAATATGAGGAAATATGAAAAAGTTGTAAGGCATTTTCTCTCTCCTTGCGGCGTGGCTTAGTGTGCAATTGGAAACCACGTAAGGCTGCCTGCCAATCGAATTCGTATCCTAGAAAGGGCATTACACAGATTTTCTCTCGTTTCCTGCCCTAAGTTTCTAAATGACCATGCTCAGTACAACTTAATTTTATATCATTGTATTTATTTAATCAAGCATTTATATAATACGACGTTGTAGAGTAAAAGATAATTTCGCTTTATTTATCCATCATGCAAAATATTACTATTATCTTACAGTTATTCTTACCTCTGACAACAGTTATATTAAAACAGTTAGGGGGAGGGGTAAGGGAATGAGACTTTCATCCGCTCTCAACGGAAACATAGTTCAAAGCTAAGATCATATCTGGGATGACCATGTAATTAATTTGACAAATAACAAAAAACTTGACACGCTGAAAATTTTCGCATAAAGAAATTTCGATGCGCTTCACTGAACTAAACATAAAATGCTTAAATGAGAGAAATGTCTTAAGCAGATGACACGGTATTAAAGATTCAGAGTTAATATATTAACTCTATTAATATTAGAGTTATATATTAATATTAGAGTTAATATCAGTGAACAGTACATCTGTCCTTTTGCCTGATGAATGTTTCCTCACTTAGCACTGTAATACGAAGTTACATATTGTTCGGTATTCACTGCTATCGACTTAAATGGAATATTTTCATAAACTGGGATGTAATCTGAAGGCCTAGCCAATGTTTCGAATAGTCATCCAAATATGTGTTATTCATATCACGGAACAAGTTTCTTAATCGCTAGCGTATTCCGATAACACTCGACGAAGTAATCACCAAAGATACTTTCTTTCAGAACGATTGAAAATGTACCAAGCAAAGAGAACACTAAACTACGAGAGTCTTATAACACAAGAAGCAATCGATAACCTCCATTCTCGCCATTGCCCCATCTCCTCGCAAAATACTTTATTTCTTCCTACCCTCCTCTTAAAACACTGCGCTGACATGCACCCGTTTATGGGTATAGACTCCCTCAATGCGAGCAGTAGATGCTATCTCGAAGCAAAATCGCACAAGCTTCAAAGAGCTTATACAACCATAAAACAACGCATTATAGCTCATTAAATCCTAGAGGCGAGCTACGCCGAACCCAAGCTATAGCTGAAAATACGATAGTATTCATTTATGAAGGGCTTCTCGCAGTTTATAACTTCTTTGCGCACTAGATATTTATGGATCACAACGACAATGTTGTGAGTTTCAATTGCCTGCCAACGTTATCAATTCCTTTTCAGATGATATAGAAACAGACAAGTGAAAAATACTGGATCAAAACTGGAGCTAAGGGATAGATAGATAGCCAAATGCTTCAATAAATTTTAAGCCGAGTCTCCAGCCGAGGGCAGACCAAAACGAGCATTTATTTTAGTAATAGAATATTTAAAACTGTAAAAATAAACCTATGAAAACTACAACTTCAGATGTTTCTTGATGCTTATATCAAAAAACTTATATAACGATGATAATTATTGTAAAAATTCTGTCCAGTTCTCCAAATGCTATAAACTCTTTCTTACGAAAAGCCTAGATTAATAAGCATTGAAAGAAATCTACCGTTTATTATTTGCAGAAAAACTGTATTTAAACATGAAAAAATATATTAGGTAACCAAGCAAATGGATTCTTTCAAGTAGGTATTCTTATATCTATATGTCTCAATATATATCTCAGTTCCCAACTCCTATTTCGTTATAAACGAATACATAAAATAATTAAACTGCACTAAAATCTTTCAACAAATCTCATGATATCGACTAAATGAGGCGACAACTGCATTTCCGAAAGCTCCAACAGGTGCAATTTGAATTTGATGCATGAAGACTGAATATCAGGCATAGTTATATAACAGGTATAGTAGTAACCGGAAGACTGAAATTAGGAATTGAGATATAAGACATAATTATAACAAAATAGGCTTCCGAACAAATGACAGCATTAAGTTATTGAAAATATGATAGTTGCTGTGAAGAACGTTTTCCGTTTAGAAATAAATTACATAACAAATGCTTGTTTGCATGTTTTGAGATAAATAACTGAATTTGTTGATCCTTGCAAATTAGAGGAGTCAAATGCTAAACATATTTTTGCCGTTTAAATTCGATACTTCTTGTTTTACGAATTAAAAATCATGTCGTATTTCATTAGCAATTCTTCTGTCTCAATACTTGAAAATAATCTTCAGTGGAGTTAATCGATAAACGACTAAATACCAAGCAAAATTTTAATTATTTTATACGGTTAAAATTTATATCACATTTTATTTTATGTTTAGTTTTATTTCAGAGTAATATCAAGCTAAAGATCGGATTCTGTTCCATGCGAGACAAATGTCAATCAATTAGGAAGCATTGAAGTAATTAAAAGCTATGTATCTGCCACGATAATTAAAGTCTATTTATTTAAGTATCTCAGTTGCGGTGGAATTTAGGATCATATATCATTGTATAATTGAGAACTACAGTAAATGGAAAGTAAGGAGACAAATTACACGCCAAAACCATTGCAATAAATTCCGAAGCAAACTGGTGACAGTAATTCGACAGCGTAATCCTTCCAATTGTCAATCTTTAATGAAAAATTTCAAATGAATTCTTAACTTAATTAAATATAGTTTTTTTAGTGCAAGTACACAAAAGGAAACTAAAATAAATTTTATTCATTGATTGATTATAGGGCTATTAATTGAGAATGAAAAACATCACTGACAAAATGGACTGAATTAAATCATAAAAGCTTAAATTTTACTTTAAAAGTATGAATGCAAATCTGCAGAAGTAATGAATAATAGTTTGAAATATACAGGCGGAACTCCTGGGATACGTGAGAGGATAAAGCGAGCTAAAAGCAATATGGATGAACTCCCTAAATATATGCTCCTAAAATATCGACGGCCATGAAAGAACCCAGCATCAGATATGAGGCAAGACATGGTATGAATAGCTTCACATAGCTAGTGGTATTGCGTTCCTTTTAAAATGCCGGGAAACTTTCAAAGTGAACATTCTGCAGGGTTTTATTAGAAAATTTTACCATGAGCATTTATTAGTTTTCCAAAAGGGTGTAGATGTAAAGAAGGAAGTATTAAAACTTAAACTAAGGGGGATATTTCAGGTATTTTCCAGCACCAAACTTCCGAACAAGTACGAAAAAAGAACCGCTAATGCAGTAAAGACAGCTAAGATTAGAAATCTTCCTTATAGCATATGAAGACAGATCGATATCCAACTAAACGAAATTTTGATGAGCTAAAAGACGATCTCCGCACTTTAAAGACTAAATATAAAGTTTTCGAGCATCAAAATGATAAAACTAAACAATTTGACTTCATTAGCACTCGTCTGAATACATGCATGGGGAGATCTGTAAATTGAGTTGCATGCATCGTAATTTATAAAGCAAGCAACGGATGTCAATTTAAATGTTTGAAGAGTTTAAAGTTTTGATTTGGTTAATAAATTAAAGTCTTATTCAAAATATTGGAGATACATGAATGATAAATCTATGAACAAAAGTTCAATTTCACTTTTGCTCGTATTCAGAGATGACAGCTATCAAAGAGAATAAAACCAGAAAGATCAACCAGATTTTAAAGGCTAATGGTCTTTTGTGATACCTTGCAGAGATTCACATTTTTGTAGCAATGTTTATCCAGGAAAACCGGGAACTTAACCAGTGGCCGAGTGGATTTCAAATCGGTTTCGATCCCAGATGATGGTTGGCTGCATGATTGGATTTTCCCATGTGTAAAGTGAACATAAGCTAGTTTCCCTTAGAAAGTCCTCCGCTTAGGCATTAAGCCCTCGCAAGCTTACCATATTCAATTAATCTAACCAGGAAAATCGGAGATTGAAACAGAGAAAACATCAACCTATGGGTACGAGGACAAGTAGGAAATCTTGATTTATGATAAAACTTGAAATAGAAAAACTTAAAAACTTTAATTAATAATATTTACAATATACTAGAAATAAATTAGCCATGTCAAGTAGGTCGGTAAACTGCCATTACGAAACTGCACACATTTTCAAGAGCTCCTCGAGAACGGACGTAAAATCTGGTTGTCTTGTATCAAATTAATACTTTTCTACAAACCTTTTCTCCCAAACTTCGGATGTATCCAGACTCTGGACGAGTACCAGATCTATAGGCTGTAACTGTTCTAGAGTTTTGCTAAATATTTACAAGGCGTTTAAAATTAAAGCAA